CATTTCACACATTTTCCTGCCTGGAATAGATCTTGTCATTGCAGTCTCTCTCTCTCTGTTTATTTTCCGAGAGATAAGGATTTCCTTTTCCTGCTAGTCATTCAATTGGCTAACAGGCATTGGCCAGTTGAACACAAAGGCCTCACTCACACACCTACTGGTCTTATTCCTTCGGGATTACACCAGATACATGGTGTGTGCGTGGAACCGCAAGTGGTGCAGCGCAAGCCATTTGGTTTGAAGCGCAGGTGTGCTTTGGCTTCGGCCATTGTGACAGGCCAATCCGTCTCGGATGCCGCCAACCATGGTACATAGGTTTTTACGTTGGGTGTAATTCACCTGTCAGAAAGACCCTCAGCACTTAATAGCCCAGGTATTAACCAACACAGTTTTAACAACGCATTTGTATGAATTTGCATTTGGAGGCACCGATTCGCAGGTGGCTACCTACTGACCGCCCAGTTTTTTGTAATTTTGAAATGAATGAACATCCTGCAGGCCATATATAATTCTTCAGTTCTTAGCGTCATCTAAGTTGGGTGACATTGGTTGTTTGTAAACTGATCATTCGCCTTTAAGATTATTTCAGCCTAGGCAGTTGTCCATAACTGATCATAGTTATCTTGTTTTCTTAACAAGTTTAAGTGACCGACCTTGTCTTCAGCTCTAGAGTTAGTATATGCGTGTTATGTGTTACTGAACATCGAAAATCACCCTTTCCATTTTTTTGTCCGACAGTTCCTGGGGAGAACGTTTTGGAATTTCTACATCCAAAATTCTTAAGCTAGGTCAAGCTGTCATGTTAAACTCTACAATTGTATGTGGGCGTTAGTTCTGAAATAATCCATTCACTTAAGGAAACTCTGTAATCTTCATTAGCGTAGATATGTCTGAAGAAAAACATGCTAACGCGTATGACAAGACAACAAGACCTATAGCCTAGCCCATGTTAACAAGCCCTCTTGTGGTTAGGCTTAATTTCAATATTTCTCCCTTGATCGATAAATTTTCTACGCTGAAGGACAACGAGTATCAGCTTCCAATGAACGTTCGGTGTTATTGTACAGTGGTACAGTCCAATAACAACTACTGAAAATGTGTAAATACCGACAGTTATGAGATCATTTAGAACGTTATGTGGTCGCTCTAATTTAAAAGGGCATAATCCTCATTTTTATACATTGAAACAAAAAATAGCTCAAGATCTTCGTCAAATTTTAGAGGTCTCATAACTTACGATTATTTTTGATTGCCAATAGTTTTGTTTCAGTAATTCAATCGTTTGCTGGTTTCGACTGTTGCAATGAACGAACTCTTAAGATTCCTGATTGGAATAATGTTCCGGTGTCTGGGTAATCAAGTCACTGTATCTACTTAAGGGTTCACCAGTGATTGTTTGTTTACCCGACAGTTTTTATACCACATGTAATAGATTTTGCTGTCGTGTCATTGACGCCATTTGCGTTTTCGAGTGTGTAAGTTGTGTGCATGACTTACTGGGCCTCTGGCTCATACTTGTCCGTTTTGTTACCATTCCAGATTCCCGTTTGCCCATCGTCCTTCAGAGAACCGTTGTCCCTCAGTGCCTCCATTCCGTTGCACGTTACACTACATTTATCCCACCTGAACACCATATGGTGACCGGGATATACACTTAAAAGCCAATGAAGCTGAGTTTAGACATTAGGAAATCGAGCAATATAAACAAACAGTAGATTGTTTTAAATCCGTGTAAAAACACTGTTCAGTTGGTAATATTGAATGCATTAAAGAAAATATGAAACAACGGAATCATTGAAATCTTGCAAACCAGATGGATCATGTAATGCTTAGGTACACACCGCGTTCTCTGTCTGAAGTTACTTAATTAGTATACAACGAGGGTATACAAATGCATCGAAAGATTTTCAATTCAAGGACACAAACAGGAAAAACTTAACAAAAAGTAAAATGAGACAAGATTACAGAAAGGAAAGTATGATGCTAACATGCGCATCACAGCATGACATAATCTCACTTCGCTTTGTAACCATTGACTAGCAATGGCACTAGAGGAACTGAACTAGTTGAAATTCGCTGAAATGGTCACGTCGTTTGGAGACTTAGAATATCATTACAGCAAGTCTTCGCTTAAAATCATCTACTGACTTTAAACAAATTCAACTTGTTCGTTGATTTTACAGAAGGTGAACCCGTTGGTCGCATTGAAATAAGAATTAAAATTTTATTTTCCAGAAACTGGTGTATATCTTCCTCAAACACAAAGCATAACAAAAACAGGTCACAGTTGTTTACATTCTGGAGTGAGTTATCATACACATACTATAACCATCTGGTTGACAAGTCAACTCGGATAAGAATGACATGAGTAAACTATTCTCTGAGCGTAAACGATCAAGTTTGAGAATGTGTTGACAGCTGTGTGATCCACTTTTCGGACAGAAATGCTGCCGATAAACTTTGCATGGACATTATAACCGTTGCCTGTCAATGAGAGTACATGCTGACAACAACTGCCACACTTGCCAGCAAGAATACAGAGTACAGAACGATGAGTATGACGGTCCAAACTGTTATAATACTAAGTGATTTCTCATGGTTTTTCGGTGGTTACTTCTGAATCCGTATTTCACAACTAATATCAGATCAGCTCACTCACTAGGCTAATTGTCAACAATGAAAAATCTAGGACAGTTATCATTATGTAGTCGAACATGGTTCCCACTCTCGACTTTCCACAGGTTTGTGTGAATTTTTTGAAATTTTACCGTTCACAGAGTCCGTAACGGACCAAGTAACAGTAAGGATTCCATCGCGTTTGAATTGTGTTACCTACCCGTCCCCCTGTCTCAAATGGAATCCACCAAAAGATCGGGGGGACCGACTGCTTCTCCAGGGTTTTTCGAACGATTCACACTGGAATCCACCACCGTCACTGTTGAGCATCGCAGTTGTGTTATTAATAAGTAGTTTCGCAAGTTTGTGGGATGAGTGGGTAACAGATTTCAAATGTGAAATTTCCGAGCTCCTGGCATGGCTTCGTAGCTCAGCTGATAGAGCGCTTGTCGTGTTTGGGTAGGGTGTTTCTGTCGCTGGTTCGAATCCAGTTGAAGCCATAAATTTTCACAAATGGGTCTCATCTAAGATTCGAATGTGAAATTTCTGAGCTACCAATGTGACTTCACGGCTCAAATGATAGGCTAAGTGTTGCGTACGGATATGTTGTTTCTGTCGCTGGTTCGAATCCAACCAAAATCTGAATTCTTCACAGTTAGGTATCTTTCAAATTATCACCGCCGCCAAACTATTTATCAAAAAACGTGATTAGTGAATACTGTTAAATAAGAAATGGATGACGCAATCACTAGCAGCTCACTCTACAATAAGTCATTGCATCGCACATCGTTAACACTTTGTTCTAGAAAAACCAGCCCACTTTTTAATTTCGCATATAGCAGCGAATACTTGCGTTAATTCGCCAGTATAGTGCATTGTGGCAATGCCCATTCGACCAGTGAAACGCTCACATTACGCTTACAGCCGTTCCTCTCCATCTGACTTCCTGTGGTGAATTCATGTTTCATCAGTTCGCATCTTGTATCCTATCTGGTCGTCAGTGTTTAATTCATTCACTGTCGATATACCTAGCTGGGATAAATTAGTGCTGAGTCGAGTAGGGTGCTAACTGGTTGAATGGGCAGTACTCAGCAAAGGGCACGTAGTCGATTCATGCCGATGTGTAAACGACACAAATTAATTTGCTCATTCACTATGGTCTTGCAGAGTTCAACTAGCGCATATGCAACAGAGCAGCGAATTGTTTGTGTGAGACAGGCATTGTCGGATCCGATTGATCTAACTGACATTAACAGCACCCCCTCCCCTTGCGTTTGTTTGTTCGACGATGTGAGTTTCTAAACGTGTATATGCAATGAGCAACCACACAGCTCGTTTCCTATACTCGTGTTCGACTGAGGCAATTTAAGATAAATGAGGTGAATCCGAATTAACAGTTACTGTTTCCCCTTGCTGGATGCAAATATCAGACAGAGCATAAATTGTGGTAATTGTGAAGGGCAGATTCTGATTGATTGCCCGTTACCGCTACAGAAGGACAAAATTAACGTGTACAGTCTGGTTCGCATTTTTTACGTGAAAGAAAATTCCACAATGTTAAATCAGTATCATAGACGTGTTTTCAACAACATCCATTGGTGGGGAAACTCTAAACTGATTTGTTCATGAAATAACGAGCGATCAGTTAATACAATTCTGATGGGATATCACACACAGTTCTTCCATTTTGTTGAATACGAATATGTGCGTCATATAAGCAACAAAATAACGAACAATACATAACGATTAGCAGGTTGTCTTTTACTGCTCTTAAAAATTCTGAGTCATGTGACCATTTACTGTCCTCTATTGTCTACCGGAAGTCTACACCGCTTCCAAGTTCTGGAGAAATTACGTGAATCGATCAGATGTTGAGAACAGTGGAACTCGTCTATTCTCTAGAACAACCGAAGGGTCACGATTGACCCAACCTCCGGCTGTAGAGAATGAACATCGTGGAGACGAATAAAGGTACATTTGAGCGGGACAAAAACAACAATTGATTCCGATCAACCCGAATAAACGATTGGTCAGAAGCGATGATCAAGACTAGTAATCATTAGGCCAAAGTGTCGAGTATATTTCATTGTTATATTCTCACCTTCATAAATGAAGTCTGTTGGTAGTTGGAAATGGGAAAAACGAATTTATCTGATGATCGAGAACCCATAATAAACGTGTTCATTGTTGCTTCAGATCTACTGAAGAATACACTAGTTCGATTTATGGCGCATATGACGCATTCTTGTCTTATATCGATATATCTAAGCTTTGATCTACCAAGAATCGTTATAAATAGTCTGGATTCAAGGCTTATTTGTGAA